GGGGTGGGGTGTCTTCTTTCCTTAAGTTCGACTCAAGGTCTTTTTAAAGACCCTGCGATATCACTTGACTGCCTGAACTGTTACGAAAAACCCATATATTCTTAATAGAAACGCACAAAATAATTTGCAACTCTCAAGCTCAACTGGGCATCAGAGGTACTTTCTTCAAGCCACGACGAAAAAGTCTCATAAGCTTGTTAAAGGGCTCTTTGTTGTAATTTTGTTCAGTCTCAGTCCTCCATATGCTATTGCCAGTATCTGGCGCCACGTGGAAAGATAAAGAGTTAATAGTTCCCTCAATTTTCTAATCAGAAGCAAATAAGCAATAACAGATATCTTCTAGCACTCACTGGCAGTGGCATGCGAGGAAACATAGATACATCTATCTCTTCAAACTGCTAACGTTAGTTTACGTCTCTCAGTAATTATTTGTTGCTTCTGTGTCTTGCAAGCCCTTAACTTGGATATTGAAAAGCAGGAAGATATCTATGAGAGAGAAACGTAAGAAATCCAAACAACATTCGAATCAAAGGACCACCAAGGCCCTTTCCTCTCGGAGATCAAAGCAGTATGAAGTTAGACAATTTTCACTTCAACCAGGCATGTTCAGAATTTCAGAGTTAAAGTGACATCTCACACCTCTGTGCCTTAAATTATGAAGAAAAGAGCTGTGTGTAAGAATCATTCTATCTGTAAACTACGTTTATATTTCTTATATTTAAAGAATCCTACTGGCTGTTCATTTAGGACACAAATCGGCTTTTAAAGGATAACATAGGCCGATTCCTTTTAAGCTGTATTAGGAAATTTTGAAACTAAGACAAAATCCATTTGCGTTTACATGTCATATTTTCTTTCTAAGTTGTAGCATCATAAACTTTCTAGGGATAAGGGCAATTTTCTTCCCTACTAGCAGTAGAGGATGCAGTGGCGGAGTGGTTAGTGCGATCGTCTCTGAAGCGGAAAGTCCGGGTTCGAGCCTCGGTTCAGACACAGATTTTTTTCGCCTCCTCCTGCCCACCAAGCAGTAATGGGTACCTGACTTCGAGTTGGGGAAGTAAAGGCGGCGTGGAAAGGAACTGGCCACCCTACCA